CATGGGTACATTCATCAAAATTAACCAAAAAATTTATTGTATCAAAACATGGGTACATTCTTCTAAATCACAAAAAAAAAAAAAAAAAGATATTAGGCTTAATAACATTAGTAAATTTCTTCAATTAAACTTGATATGGATACATTTTAAAATCAAAGAAAAAAGAATGTACCCATATACGTTTAAAAATGGATTAGAAAAAAATTGAATAGATTTTATATATAAAAAAAAAGAGGGTACATTTTACATATAACAAATTGGTATATTTAAGAATGAGTACATTTTAAGATTAAAAAGTTTTACATGAATGGGTACATTTAGCAAAATAAAAAGTACAAATAAAAACAATATATGGGTAAAAATACAAATAAACTTTAAAAAATATGGGCACAAAAAGAAATTAATATATGGGTACAAATTAAAAGTGAAAATAAAATTGGTACAAGTTAAAAAAGAATTACAAATTAAAAATGGGTACAAACTAAAACTAAAAATATATGATAAAAATTAGTCATAAATATAAATATACTAATTGTAACATTTTTAACATTAAATGAATGTATTTAGAAATAAAAAAATATTTTATTATTGAAATAATTAATGATGTTATTAATACCCAATGACCTTTATCAAAATTTGAAAATGAATAAGATTTTAATCAATGAAGTAGCAAAAAGAAGGATGAGAATCTAATTTTCCCTAAAATAAAATTATATAAACAGTTCACCATTAATAACATAAAGGTATTTTAAGATAAAACCTCACACTTGGACACGTCTAGAAAAATTGTGGCTACTGAGCTTTATTGAAAAAGTGAAAAGTCTATTGACCTATCTACTGAAATATGAAATTATTTGTTGGACTGACCCAAGTTTCGTATTCAATTTAAATAGGAATTATCCAGGCTGCTGAATTCAGCAGCCACTCCTTACATCCAATCTCGTATGAACATGTGTCCAAGTTTTGATTAAAAAAATAAAAACTTGGACACGTGTCCATCCGGGATTGGTTATAAGCAGGAGTTGCTGTTGAATTTTCAACAGCCAAGTCTTGTTCATTTAAATATGTGTGTTTTCATGTATGTGTACATAAAAAGTAGCGAGTGGCCAATACAACCTTGAAGCTGACTGAAAGCTCCTTGGAGCAAAGCAAAGTTTAGACTTAAGATTCTAGAGCAAGCAAGCACCTTTGTCTATATATATTGAAATCCGAGTTGCTCAAATTGGAAACCAATGCCATATATGAAAATGAAGTGTTTAGTAATGGAGAGGCATAAGGCTTATATTGCAATGCTCTTCATACAGTTTGTGTATGCAGGTATGGCCTTGTTCTCTAAGGCAGCAATTTCTAAAGGAATGAACCCTTTTGTCTTTGTGGTTTATCGTCAAGCTTTTGCCTCCCTTGCCTTGGCTCCCTTTGCGTTCTTCCTTGAAAGGTTGTTAGTTACGCCTCCTAATTAATCCCACTCTCCCACTTAATTAGTGTTATATTGTTTTTGAATCTTTTTTTGTTTTCTGAATTTTCAGTTCAAAAGAAGCTCCTCTTTCCTACACCTTACTCTGCAAGATTTTCTTAGTCTCCTTATCTGGGTACGTTTGAACTTGGTTTAGTTTTTGCTCTCATCAACATTTCAGTTAATCAAGTTCTCTAATCTTGTATTATCTCTCTAATCTAGGATTACCCTGAGTTTAAATCTCTACTATGTTGCAATCAACTACACCTCTGCAACCTTTGCTGCAGCCACCACCACTTTAATTCCTGCGATCACGTTTTTCATGGCGGTTTTATTAAGGTAATTAAATTAAACTTTATATTATATTTTACTTGTTACTTAAGGTTTGTGTGTATACTATATATATAGATAGTTAGTTTTGTCAAATATTGAAGAAGAAAGTTGGTTTTTAATTAACTTTTTTGTGCAGGATGGAAAGCATTTCTATGAAACATTTGTACGGAGTCGCCAAGGTGTTGAGTTCTCTCACAAGCCTTTCAGGAGCATTGGTGTTTGCTTTAGTGAAAGGGCCTTCCATAAACTTCAACTGGTTTCCATCAAATCAAAGGCAAATTCCACACTCCTCATCTTCCTCCACAGGAAGAGACTGGTTAAAGGGTTCCCTCATCATGATCTCGGCCAATACTGCATGGGCTTTGTGGTTAATTTTGCAGGTTCATCTCATCACCACCACTATATTTATTTATTGTTTATGCATGAGAGATTAGAACTTAAGACTTCAGGTGCATCTTATCACCGTCATTATCTTCCACTAAATGGAATTCTTCTTTGCTAGATATTTTATAATTAAGAAAAAAAAAAGGTTTTCTTACGAGACGGTGAATTTGGAAGATATTAAGTCTGGTAAAATAACGTTTTTCTGCCTCTTGCCTTGTTAACTAGTGCTTATGTTCTAGGGTCCCATTATCAAGCAATATCCGGCAAAGTTGAGGCTTACCACTCTGCAATGCTTCTTCAGCTGCATCCTGTCAGCTTTCTGGGCCCTTGCATTTGAGAGAAACCCATCAGCTTGGAAGATTGGATGGGACATTCATCTTCTCTCTGTTGTCTATTGTGTAAGTCGTTCCTACATATCCACGGACACACAGAATTCTTGCATACAACATGTATATGTTTTGCAAGAAATTTTTTCACATTCAACTAATAACGATAACAACCATAAAATGAGTGAAAAAATGTCATTATATACACTCGTTGTACTTATGAAATTACTATTCCCAATTACCACTTTTATGCACCGACTTAAAAAAAGCTTGCACACAACGCGTATATATGTTTTAGAGTTTTATATCATACGATTAAAAAAATATCCGACTTAAAAAAAGCTTGTATACAACATGTATATGTTTTGTATGGTGTTTTTCTCACTTAACTGATAACGATAACAACGATAAAATGAGTGAAAAAGATCATTATATACACACGTCGTAAGCAAGAAATTACTATTCCCAGTTAGTACTTTATGATAGTCATTTGTATGCACCGACTTAAAAAATGCTTGCACACAACGCGTATGTATTTTACATGACGTTTTTCTTATTTATATCATACCATTCAAAAAATATGTGACAAAATCACTTCATACATCGGTTGTATGCATGAAATTACCATCCTCTGACAATCAAATTTAACCATGCATGAAATGACTGCATGATAAAACAAAACAATTAATATTTGCAACTAAATCACAAAGATCTTTTGTCTTAAGAACTATTTGGACCACTTATCTATGTCGTCTTAGACATTGAGGATTGCATGCCGTGCGGATCCCTTTGGACCATATAACTATTTGTATTTGGACCACTTATATATGTTGTCTTAGACTATGTTGTCTTAGACGTTGAGGATTGCATGCCGTGCAGATCCCTTTGGACCATATATATGTACGTGGCTCAATTAGTTCTAAAAATGTACCATTTGAAAATGTTCTGGATTTGTATATGGCTCCTATTTCCTCAAAGAGATGGGATAATGACTCATATTTTGATCTATTAGTATTCATAGGGTACAAATCCAGAACATTTTCAAATAGTACCTTTTTAGGAACTAGTTGAGCCACTTACATATGTATGGTCCAAAGGGATCTGCACGGCATGCAATCCTAAATATCTAAGACAACATGTATATGTGGTCCAAATAGTTATACGGTCCACATGGGCATGCATCTATTTAAATATATCACATACATATATAGAAACATAGGGGAGCGCTCACGTGCTAACTGATTAGTAACTTAATACAACAATTATCACATGTTTGAGCTCACTCCGCCATATTTTTTTCATGATTTAAACCGTTCATCTTTTAAATTTTTATGCATAGATTATTTTTACAAAATTTTCATTTGGTCAATAGATTTTTGTCGTGAACATTTCTTTGAGTTCTCATGGTAATTAATTGGTAATGGCAGGGTGTAATTGTAACTGGGATTACTTATTGGCTGCAAGTTTGGGCCATAGAGAAGAAAGGCCCGGTATTCACTGCATCGTTCACTCCATTATCACTTATTATAACAGCCGTCTTCTCAGCAATCATGTGGAAAGAAGCCATCTACTTGGGAAGGTCCATATCTTTATCTATCATACATTTTATTTCTCTATGGTGCTAAACAGACCCTCTACTTCAATTATATTTTATAGACTACAAGATATGGCGGCTGATAATTGAATCTCTTCTTTAAATCATTAAAAAAAGAATTCAACCATTAACCAGCACATCATATGATTCCATCCTAGTTATTAAAATCACTTGATGCTGAGAAGGTGAAAAATTGGGACAATCACCAATGTGTGTAGCGGTATTCTTTTAAGTATTGATGTCAAATTACACATATGAATGTGACTATTTTTGTGATCGAATTTAAATAACATGTTGCAGTATCGGAGGGGGTGTATTGCTAGTTGCAGGTCTCTATGGCGTGTTGTGGGGAAAGAAGAAAGAGGACCAAAAGAGCCAAGAAAGTGATCAAAAACAAGAAAACAAGCCGGAAGTCGTATAACATGATATAGATGGGATGGGATGGGATGGGAGGGAATTTAAAGTTTTGATTGCATTGTATATAGACATGGGTGCTATCACATAGATTTGTATTTGCTAACTTCGAAACTCGAAGCTGTGCTAAAAATTATCAATGTTTAAATCTCGTGGATAAGCGTAAGTTCCCACGGTGCATATATGGTTAAATTTGCAGGATACTAACAAATACTCTTAGTTTGAAAACTTCGACACGAAAAAGAACACCTGTTATGATATGGATAATATTTGGGTACTGACCGGTACTCAAATATATTAAGAGAATTGTTATTAGCACTCCAAAAATTTCATTTGGTACTCCAAACTTTCTATAATTAGAAAGAAAAATGCACTTGTGAAGAGTGTAAAATGAGATTTTTGGAGTGCTAATAACAATTCCCTATATTAAATGGGTCAATAGTATTATAACTAGTATGTTGATATGGTGTTTTAGGGAAATTTAAAGTATGTTGATATAAGTTATAATAGTTGAGCTGAATTTATTTGTACATTCTAATGTAGGGGGTCATACTAATCGTCTCTATATTGTTTGAATTTTATCGAATGGCCCTTGAAGAGGACTAGGCTGAATTTTGTATTTGTTATTTCATTTGTTAACAATTGTAATCTATGAAATTTGAACTCAAGTTTTCCTCTAGCCAAGTGAAAAATAATTTTGCTAGATAAAAGAATTAATAATGCAATAAAAATCATATGGGCTTTGGGTGTTGGGCCCTCGTATGGGCTTTGGGTTTGGACCCCCCATATGGGCTTTGGGGTTTGGGCTAAAAAATTTAACGAAATTTCACTTTGATCCTTACAAGTATTTATGTTTCAATTTCAACCCTGTAAAATTGTTTCGTTTTCACAGTCGGTCCAATTCGACTTGTAGTTCAATCGAAAGAGTTTCCCCTCCTTCAAACCCTTAACCCTCTGTAAACTCAAAATCCCTTCTCTTCCCTTCCAAGTTTTCACACAATGAAACGCTCAGCCGATGGCGTTCCCATCGCCGCTTCCTCCGCCACTGCCTCCTCCTCGCTGCCGCCCAAGAAACCTGTTTTCTTAACTAAAGCCCAACGCGAGCAATTAGCCCTCCAACGCCGTCAAGAACAAACCGAAGATCAAAAGCGCCACCAGAACCATCTCCTCTCCAGTCTCTCCCACTCGCGCCCTTCATCCGACGCTGCACCGCCCGTAACCACCCCCAATTCTGACCGAGACCGAGATCGAGACAGAGACAGAGACCGAGATCATAGGGACCGAGAGCGGGACAGAGACAGGGACCGATACTCCCGTGACCGGGAACGAGACCGGGAACGAGATTCCGAGCGGCGGAACCGAGACCGAGACCGAGATAGGGAGCGGGAAGAGGAGGCCAAGGCTCGAGAGCGTGCCCGCTTAGACAAATTGGCGGAGCGCGAGCGGGACAAAGAGCTGGAAGCCATTAAAGAGCAGTATCTCGGATCGAAGAAGCCCAAGAAGCGAGTCATCAAACCCAGCGAGAAATTCCGATTCTCTTTCGATTGGGAGAACACGGAGGACACCTCTCGGGATATGAATGCTTTGTACCAAAACCCTCATGAGGCCCAGCTTTTGTTTGGGCGAGGGTTTCGGGCCGGGATGGACAGAAGGGAGCAGAAGAAGCTTGCTGTAAAGTACGAGAGGGAGCTGCGTGAGGAGATTCGGAAGAAGGACGGCGTAGAGGAGAGGCCTGAGGAGGCCGCTGCGCAGAGGCTCAAGGAGGAGGCTGCGGAAATGTATGACACTTTTGACATGAGGGTTGATCGCCATTGGACTGATAAGAAGCTTGAAGAGATGACTGAGAGGGATTGGAGGATTTTTAGGGAGGATTTTAACATTTCGTACAAGGGGTCGAGGATTCCGAGGCCAATGAGGAGTTGGGCTGAGAGTAAATTGAGTGAGGAGTTGCTTAAGACTGTGGAGAAAGCTGGGTACAAAAAGCCTTCTCCTATTCAGATGGCGGCGATTCCACTTGGGATGCAACAGCGCGATGTTATTGGCATTGCTGAGACTGGTTCGGGTAAGACTGCTGCCTTTGTTCTTCCTATGTTGACTTATATTTCGAGGTTGCCTCCCATTAGTGAGGAGAATGCGGCCGAAGGGCCTTATGCTGTTGTTATGGCGCCTACTCGTGAGCTTGCACAACAGATTGAGGATGAGACTAACAAGTTTGCGCAATACTTGGGTATCAAAGTGGTTTCCATTGTTGGCGGGCAGTCAATCGAGGATCAAGGTTTTAGAATTAGGCAAGGCTGTGCGGTTGTAATTGCTACTCCAGGGCGTTTGATTGATTGCTTGGAGAGGCGTTATGCTGTTCTTAACCAGTGCAATTATGTTGTTCTTGATGAGGCTGATAGGATGATTGATATGGGGTTTGAGCCACAGGTTGTCGGTGTTTTAGATGCAATGCCCTCCAGCAATTTCAAACCTGAGAATGAGGATGAAGAACTTGATGAGAAGAAGATTTATAGAACCACTTATATGTTCAGTGCCACCATGCCCCCTGCTGTGGAGCGGCTTGCTAGGAAGTACTTGAGGAATCCTGTTGTGGTCACAATTGGAACAGCTGGAAAGACAACTGATTTAATTACTCAGAATGTAATCATGACCAAGGAATCAGAAAAGTTTGAGAGGTTAAAGAGATTGCTTGACGAACTTGGTGATAAGACTGCTATTGTGTTCGTTAACACCAAGAAGAATGCAGACTACGTTGCTAAGAGTTTGGATAAAAATGGATATCGTGTGACCACTTTGCATGGAGGGAAGTCACAGGAGCAGAGAGAAATTAGCCTTGAAGGTTTTCGGACCAAGAAATACAATGTTCTAGTTGCGACCGATGTTGCAGGTCGTGGGATTGACATACCTGATGTGGCCTATGTTATTAATTACGATACGCCTGGGAATATCGAACAGTACACTCATCGTATTGGGCGTACTGGCCGTGCAGGAAAGACTGGTGTGGCCACAACATTCTTGACTATGCACGACACAGATGTATTTTATGATCTCAAGCAGATGCTTATTCAGAGTAATAGTCATGTTCCTCCTGAACTGGCGAAACATGAGGCCTCAAAGTTCAAGCCAGGTTCAGTGCCTGATAGACCACCAAGGCGTAATGATACTATTTTTACTCACTAAGAAGTTAGGAGTTTACCAGAGTTTTCGACAGAGGGCCCAACTTATTCTCCGTGTGATGGTGTTTGGTGGTTGAGACATATTTGCTTAATGCTGGAACTGAAGAAGTGAGTTGCTTTGTATGGGATTGTGTTCATCTAATATTTGTGCCGTACTGTAATTGGCAAATTGATGTCATAAACCTTTTTGCTCTAGAATAATGTTGTTAACCGTTATGTTTGCTAGAATTATGACGATATCAGTTTGAATGTTTACTTTTTCACTCATCATTGAGTTTTGCAAATTATTCGTTCACTTGAGTGGGTTGTCTTCAAATACTATATTGTCTGTTGATGTTTTCATATCACATTTGTATGCAGAAATAAACATTAAAGCTACTCTTGTATGCTCTTTATGTATTATGTGTGTATTATGTTCACAGTATGGTGGTCACTTCCACCTTGGAGGTTCTGGGCAACATATCTCCGAGAATCTGCTGGACCACCTTGCTGGATGTCACTGTTTGGTTTTGGGGCTTTTCTTTGCATGCCAGATTTGTCGAAGCAATTTGATATTAAGGTGCTGTTTTCTACTATGGTATGTGATTTAAGTTATTGCTGATATATGGTATTATTGAGGATTAACTGTGATTAGCAAGGAAATAAATATGAAGGAAGAGAAAATAAAGAAAGCTCTGTTTATGAATCATAACATTAAGTTTGTAAGTTTGGGATAGGAATAGATGGTTATCTTTTATAGTGTTATAAGGTTTTGACAAACCAATACCATGTCGAAATAATTTAGTGTCGTTGCTAGCTACTGCTGTAGTTTTGGCTTTTGATAGAATGTAATTTTGAGTTCTTGACATAAGATAATGTACCGATAACAATGTTGATATTACTAAACATGATCAGGAATCGAAGCATATAACATTTGAAGCCCGTTCGTGTACATAAGTGCAATATCTTTTACCCCTAATGAGCTTAATCTTCCAACTGATGCTAACATATATTCGTATGCATTTGGTCTACAAGAAAATATGTTGTTTCATGTTTTTGGTATTGAAAAGTGGTGTATTGGTGAACTGCATTTCGTATTATCACCTTTGCATAACTGTTTATTTACTCTGGTTTTGCAAGCCTTTTATAGTCTTAATCTCGTTAACATAATTAGGTTTTAGATATATCATGTGCAGATAGTCAACCTCATGCATCTTAATACAGAAAATTATCTTGTATTGAAACTCAATAAGCCAAATAAGTCGACGAAAAGAGTTGAATGGCCCCGAAAAGAGTACTTTGTTCCATATAATTTACATGCTGTTGCGTCTGAAAGTTGCTCATTCTATGATCAAGGTTTGTTTCGACCGGAAACTATTGCATGTGTAATCTAGGTCATAAATCTGTGTATTTATACATGTTTAGTGGGCTAAGGTGACATTGATTAGTAGGAACGATTAGCAGCTGTTCATAGATTTGGATACATTCTGCAGATAAGTTGTATATATTTGAGCATATTACAGTCCAGATGACATAAATAGATGAACAAGACGAGAAAGTACTGAAAATTTCAGAACCATTTCAAGGAGGCCTTCTTGCCTGAGGTTATAACAAATATGTCATTGTTAACTACACCTTTGTGAGACGAGCAGTATTTTGCAAAACACGCATCAAGGTGCTCCTAGGCGGCTTTTGAAGGCAGAGCGGTGATGTTAACTCGAATGGAGTAGGCTTAGGGCTGGTTTGGTATTGATGTGCTTTGAAAAAAACTACTTTTGCTGTGCTGTGAGAATAATCTCATTTTTGCTCCTCACGTTTTTAGCTTTTTTTCACCTAAAATTGTGAAAATAAGCTATTTTTAAATATTTACCAAACATCTTTTTGAGCTTAGCTTTTTTTTATACTCACTTTTTATAAAATCACCTTAGTACCAAACAAGTACTTCAACGTCCCAGCTTTTGGAGGGGGCGATGATGAGGAATTGTTGTACTATCAGAATTTTGGAGAGCAGTCAGTGGCGTCCCCGAGTTCATGGCCGTGGCACTTAGCGATTAAGCATCCGCCGGGTCCAGTTCCATGTTTTAAGACATGATTATTTGGGCTTGCTGATTTTATGTCTCACCATTTTATGATTTCCTCCAAATTCAAAGTAAAGAAACCATAGCCAAAAGGAACTACTAGATTCTAGGAAAGCGTAACGAGGAGATTATTTATGCTTTATATTTAATTTTCGGCCCTTCCTAAGCTTCGAATCATTAGCTCCGCCCCTGAAAGAGAGCTAATGAAATTCAGGGAGGGCCTTAGGGGAGACCAAGAAGTGATGTAAATATTAGTATAGCATTAGCTAGTTTTGAACTCAACAACTTTACGCTACGAATAAAGGAATACATAGAATTAAACATAGGAAAGATTTCTTCGTAACGTCTGATATTTTTCAAAAAATGATTA